TATCAATAGGAATCGGATGATTTTTGAACCATTCAAATCGGTTGATCCGTGCGCCCTAAAACGTGACTGGAAATTTGTATCCACACATACATACACACACACACACACACACACACACATCCATTTTTTCTGAGGTATGCCAAAACGTTCAGAAACCTTCAAAACGTCGAGAAATGTAAAAATTTTTAATTCCGATTTTCGGCCCATTACAATAACTTACCCTACGGGAAGTTAATAAATCATACATTTTTTTGGTACATATTACAAAATAGCTTATATGATTAAACTATTCTTGTGAGTTATTTAAGGAAATAAAAAAATATAAAAAAGAAAAAGATTTATTGTCGTAAGTTTTAGTAGGAACTTGTATTAAATAATGTTTCTAATTAAAATCACATATAATTCAAAAATCATTGTTTTTTTTTTCTTTATATCTGTGTTTCTCAAAAGGTATTACTCGCCAATTCTACTACCGTATACAACAACTCTAAATGAAAATTTATTTGAGTTTGTTTTATAAATTATTAGTTATATACTCCATTCATAATTGGTATTGGTGCACATATTTTTTGAAATGACTAATTCTTTCATAGTTATCTAATCAGTTATCTAATCTAATCAGTACCAATTTAATTAACAAGGGTATATAAAAGATGTACGATGGATGTGCAATTTTCAACTTAGATCTCTGGGTAGTTTAACCTTATGTTTTAAATTTTCAGGAAGTAATTAAAAAAATATTATTGAATTTTAGTATTAACATCTTTGACAATAATATTGTGGCAATTAAAAAATATATTTAAAAATAAAAAAATCGAAATTAAATAGTTAATTTCATTGTTAGTTGTAAAAATGTAAGATAAATTGTAATATTCAGGATCAATATCTAAGAATAAGATGATTAGTAAACATAATGGTAACAATTGATATTTGTAAATTGGTGAATTGAAAACCAAATTATTACGATAATATTCTGCCGATTTGAATATATTTCAAAATTTAAAATATATAAATTGAATTGATAATTTCATTGTTTGTTATGAAAATAAGGTATTGAAGTTAATTGTAATATTCAGGATTATTACAAATTACTAACAAGCTTATTTATAAATAAGCTTATTAGTTAACTTGTTAACATAATGGTAACGATTGAGATAGGTAAACAAGTAAATTGAAAATAAAATTATATAATTATAAAAATAGTCAGAATTGTTTTCGAATTTTTCGTTTTTTTGAATTAGAGTAATAAAGTAAAGAAAAGTTTTTTAAATTAATTAAACATTTCAAAATAAAATAAAACCAGACTGAGATATAAAAACGTATATTATTTAATAAATAAAATAATGATAAAAAATAGATAATTTTGTTGTTTATTGTTTTTGGTTCAACTTTGATTTGTGATTAATAAGTTTAATAAAATATTTGAGCACACATTCACTACAAGAGACAAAATTTTGATTAATTTAATTTGATAAATTACGACAATTTATTATGAAATGTCCATATATGGGCTTAATATATAATATATAAACATTTGAAACCAATAATATATTTTGAATAATATGAAGGCATTTATAATTTTAATTGCAAATTTGTTATTAACGTTTTACCCATATTTTACCTGTTTTATATTTTTAGAAGATCATCGTTCACACAGTTTTGCAATATTTGGAGAAATGTGCAGATATATATATATATATATATATAAAATTACTAAAATAGCCCAGAAAGATAATAAAAGCAATTTCTCAAAGGACGAGCAAAATTTAAATATGCAAAGAAGCTATTAAATTATTTTACAAACGTGCCACTAGCATTAAAAGTTAAATAAGATATATGCTGGCCGAGTGTTCTTACAACGAATACTTTTTCAAGACACAAACGTTACTTAAGTGCAATATTACGTATGCAAAATTATAATATTCTCCATATCGCAGGGAAAAAGAAAAGATGGCATAGGTATTTTATAAAGTAATTTTGTATGCAATTTAAATATGCGGAAGAATTATTAAATTGTTTCACATATGTGCCACAAGCACTAAAAGTTATAAGAAACAAGTGCCAGCGAAGTGCTTACGGCTTCTTCTTATGTCTCATATGTTTAAGAAAGGAATTAATTTGAAGCAAAGATATTTTTATTTATAATTCAATTTTAAAATATAATATTTGAACATTGTTAAATGTAATTTATTTTTAGACAACTAGACAATGCATAGTTATTATTAAATTTATTACAACATGTGGTAACGCAATTTTATAATTTTTAAATATTGTAGATTTTTAATTAAAATTACTGATGATATATTATAAATTTTTTAACACATACTTTTAAAAACTGATAGTTTCCAAAATTTATTTAGCAAAATAATCGGATCGCAATATAATTGTAACAATACATTATATACTGTAATACTGTATATACATTTATATAGAATGGACATTAAAATTTAATTTTTTTGGCATTATAAGCCATTAAGAAAACCTTGCATCAATTTACCATCTACACTGTTTCTATTTAATTGTTTCATTAGCAAAATCGAAATAATAGATATAGCTATTATTTTAGCTATTTACAAATAATAATTTCATAGTTTCATTTATCCACAATTTGACAATGTGCAACAATTTGACAAAAAAAAAACAAACAAGAAAATGAACTATCAAGAATTAATCTTCAAACTTCCAAACTTCAGAATGCCATCGTGAATTTAATGAAAATGCATGATATTTGTGAAAAAATTTAATAAAACAAATTTAATATCGACGTTAAATAATTGTTTATCTACTAAATGACAATTGTTTGTCGGTCATATTTCCTAATTCCATCTAAGCAATATCATTTTCTTAGTTGCTTTATGCTCCGCTCATAATTTAGATTTGTTTCACCATATTTAATTTTGTAATAAATTCTATTTTTGAAATAAAACTTTTTTATGCGTGATAGGGTGTAAATCTGTGAAAATGCAACGGAAGAGCGTAACGCTCGAGTCGACTGCCAATGATTCATCAGTCGCTCTCGATGAGATCATTTCTATACGGGTCGCTTGTGATTGGTCGTCGTGTCGCGTGAGTATGATTGCTGTGAATGTATGCGTATACGTATTGTACGCATATAGTAAAAATAATAAAACAAATGAAAAATCAGTGCTGTGTAAGCAACGTAAGTTTACTAAAATAATTTGTATTATTTGTGGTTACTATACATTTTTAGAAATTATATACTGCACCTATTTTTTAGATATTTTTTCATATATAATTTTTATGGAACTGACAATATAAAAATATTGCCAGAATCGTCTCAACTCTTCAATTCAAATCAAATTTAAAACATTTTCTTATTTTACAAAAAAAAAAAAGATCATCGTCTATTCAATTGAAATTTATGATTAGACCTCATAATGTTTTTGTAATGTCATTGTTAACTGGAAATCTGTTATACTAGGACATTTATTAATTGTTTTAACATTATTATATGGATTTTTGGATGGGTGGCAGGCAACCAAGAATTTGTCCAATCCAATTGTGATTAACTATACTCAAAGTATTTTTTTACATTTATTAGATATATGCAGCTATACCCAAAAGAGGTGAATTTCACATGAAGTTTTATTTGAGATCCATAACCTTAAGTGAAAATTTGACATTAGAATTGAACTGTCCCTGTTAGATTAAATGGTGATTTGGTTCCTGTATCCAATGTTGTTAAATATCTGGGAATACATTTAGATAGAAGATTAACCTGGCATGAACATATTCTAAAGAAGCGTCAGCAGCTTGAATTAACACGTAGGCAACTTAATTGATTAATGGAAATGGAAATCACAAGTCACAATAGAAAATAAACTCCTAATATACAAGACAATTAATAAACCAATATGGTCCTACGGCCTACAACTATAGGGTGCGGCTAGTAAATCGAATATAACTATTCTACAAAGGTTCCAAAATAAAATTTTGAAAGAAATCGTGAACGCTCCAAAATACGTAACCAATTGGTTGATGCATCAAGATCTCAGAAGTCAAACTATAGAAGAAGAAATTAGTCTTTACTGTACAAGATACAAAGCTCGTCTAAGTCGTCATCCAAACGTATTAGCGTTAGATCTGCTCAAGCCTTTACCATCAAAGCGTCTCAAAAAAAGAATCTGCAATAATTTACTACAAAATATAACATAACATCTAAGAAGGATAGCGATCCTTCGCACGCAGTCAAATAATATATAACTGTAACAATATGTAGCTGAATGTACTTTGCATAGTTTGCTATGAAAAATAAATAAAAAAAAATTGGACTAACAAACCCTGTACTAGTTTGCGTTACCCCTTTCAACCCATTATGCCACCGCTCGGCCAACATGTAAAATGTAACCGAAGAAAAGTTTAAGTTTTCAATTATTATATATCAATTTATTGATTATTATGTGGCTTTTATCTGCTGCTAACAAAAACAACCCTTATGTGTCGTTTGTCATTCAAAAAAATCAAGATATCTAATTGCAAGGCAAATTTTCCAATTTCAATATTTCATCTTTCCATTCGTGAAATAAATCCTAAATCATTTTAACGAATGACTACGTATTATATTCCGCTTATGTACGGTCCGGCGCGTATGTAGATTTCTTGAGTGCGTCGCATCCGGGAATTGCGAGGGAGAGCCGGACTTTTTTATTTGGTTTTGCGGACTCCGGTCATTCGTCATGCGGTATTTCCCGCTTAGTCCGGAACAACAACCATCATTTGTTTTCCGAACGGAAAAACTCCTCTGAAGAAGAGAGGGTCATAGTACGACGGTACACGTAAAACGACGGAAAACACATATTCCCCAACTAATGTTCAACCCTTTTTTATATAAAAAATTATTATTTTGTTAATTGAACCAAAAATATAATAAAATCTAATTTTATTGAAAAAAATGAAGCAATTGAAGAAAAAGTAGCCAAACCCCAACTAAAATATTTTAATATTCAGTCTAATTCAACTAATTAGCTCTAGTTCACTTACCTCTTAAAGGGTCTTCTTGTAAAGGGAGATCCTTGAACGTGATGTTAATCATCATATTGTAATTCTGATTGTCTGTAATAAACAAAATAAAAAATCAACACATATTGTAGTAAAATTTTGAAAATTGAACAAGAAATATTTATCTAATGAGGTTTAAAAATATAAAATTAATTTTATCACATAGTAATGAAATTAATTGATGAAAAATTTAAATATAATTATACAAAATGTAATTACACAAAGCTCAAAATGCATAGGTATATCATAACCAGAAATTATTGACAATTTTGACATGTACCTAAAAATATAAAAAGTTAAACAAATAAAGACGTATTATTATTATTATTTAAGGACATTTAGGGACATTGTATGCTATATTGACAATATTAACAATATTTTAACTATAATGATATAATCTTAACTATTTAGTAATAAATAATATTACTGATCAATATAATAATAATAAAAATAAAAAAAATAGTGAAAAGTTCTACTCAGCCCGCATCTGCTGAGATATATTTTCAGTATTATCAAATTCTTATTTAATTTGTCAATATACTATTTTCATTATTATACAAGGTATAAGAAAACAACTATTTTCTTATTGTTGTTATTGTTATTTTGTCAAGTTTACCAAAATGACAATTTCAACTGATTAATAAAGACTTGAAGTTCAGGTTGATGATAAAAATCGTCGGTTATCTGATATTGAGGCAAAAATATTTTTTTGTGTCCAATCCAATACTTAAGTAGTATTCTGATTTGTACTTTGAGTCGATTTAAACTAAATTGAAAAATAATAACAGTACAGCAAAAAAAAGGTAAAAATATATCAAAAGCTATTAATGATGGTTTATAGAGATAAAAAATAAAAACTTATCCCACTTTTCGAAATGAACTTGAAACACCAATTTAATTGATACTTAGTGATATTTAATACCAAGGTTGCCCCAGAAACATGTCGAAATGTGTTAGCAGCAACTATACAAAAGTATGAAAGTAAACTCTTTTAAAATTACACAAAAGTAAATTATTATAAAATTAGGCTAGGAAGGGGCACAAAGTCCAATTTGATTTTGAACAATTATATTGTGAAAACCAAACTAATTATATCACAACAAATAACACATATCATATAAACAACAATCTGACTATGTTTAGGAAAACTCTCAGCTAATTCATCAATGTAGAAATGTGTTTTTTGGCTACTTTTCAAAAATTTGTCATCTGGTGCTATTTATCTCATAAGTGGGGTAAAATGGGACGGCCACGAGACATCAGGTCTAATGTTTTATTCTTAATTTTAAAGGAATTCAACGAACTAATAGCCACATTATTTATACCAATATAAATTTTATGGATGCATTTTTAGGGAGTAAAAATATTGTAACTTTGATCTGGTATTTTGTCAGAAATATTCATCAGAAAAGTTGGAATAACTACTTATTTTATTTATCTCTTGTAAATTGCATTTTTCACCTTAATTTACATTTCTATTTATCATTTGTTATTGTTTACAACTTTGCCCGGTTTAGTCGGAAAAGTTAACTGAAAAAGAATAAAGCACAACTTTCCAATCTAACGATAGTTTCTCCTGCAGAATATACTACTTTTGTTAGATCAAACTCAATTCAATTTCATTCCGCAGATACGTAATAAAGAGTTAATTTCTCAAATTTGAAATAAGGACAACACAAATCAAGTCGATAACCATATACGCTATAAAGGAAATGTACCGATTGTTTATCTTAATGGTACAATTTACAGACAAACCGTCGATACGATAAAATAAATGCAAGCAAACCGATAAAACAATAAATCGTTCCATTCGAAGCAGTGTAAAAATCTACGGCAAGTTTATATAGGGATAAACTATTATTACAGATAAATAGAATTAGATACTAACCGAGTAAGGGCTGTTAAGGTAAAGACAAAGATATTAAAAAGTAATAATTGAATACTGACATATATCAAGCATACAAACAGTCAATATATCCTAAAATTGGTTTATCGAAGTACCTGTTAATTATTTTTACGAACATTTGTTTTTAAAATGTGCAGATTCGTTAAGTGCGAATTGCGGGTCTATAGCTTGCAACTGATTTAGAGAATCTATATTTTGCTATTGTAAATTGCAAATATTATATTTTTATATCTATATTTTCTATTGAAATTAAGAGTTGGTTATTAGAATCAGTTGACGTAGTTGCTGAAAGCCAGTTAATTATACTTTATTATGGGTATTCTCATTAAAATTATTCTATTAGTTCCAATACTGCAATACAAATGAAAGCAGAAAATAGATTTATCTGATTTTCCTAATACGTAAGACTTGGAATAATTTTTGCATAGACCTTTCGATATGCTTTTCCTTTGTTCTTGAATTGAATTAACGCAGAAGTTAAATTCATATAAATTTTAGTACAGCTTTGAAAGATTAAGAAATCTACTTATTTGATATATGAATTAATACTAGTTATATATGATTATCATATCAAATTTAAAATATTTTTCCAGAGAAAGTTCTCTTTACTTGAATTGCTCAACTTCTTCGGTAAAAATTCTTCTATTTTTAGAATATATTATAAAATTATAAAGAAGGTCTGTTTCATAATAACATTCTAAAACCATTATATATTATTAATTTGTCCTGACCTGATTTTAAACTATGCACATAATTTGATAATATTTATTGTTGCCTTAAACTATCCAAATGAGGAGTTTTTATCAGAGTAATTAGTTATCAAATTAAAGAATTGTTCAAATTAATTATTTGTTAATGTGTTAACTCATTCAAAATCAGGGTATCTAATAAAAATATAAAAACAAGTTTTTATATTGTGTTTATCATTTTAATATAATTGAGAAATTTTCTCTAGGTAATTTATAGTATATGTTTCTTACTTCTTTAAACAAGAAATGTAGTCTCTATTCATTCTAATGAGATTGCATGGCATTCAAATGAAATTGTGTGATTTTGTATTATAAAATATGTTTATAAATAATTGAGTAAATTGAACTGAAATCCTGTTTCATTAAATCATTAATTCAATAAAACAGGAGAGTTAAACCATTATGACTCTTACGACCATAAATTGGCTAGAATTCTAAATCAACATGACTCAAAAATGATATGATGCTAGATAAAAAAATGTGTAAATGGCATTTTGCCCTAAATAAGTTGCATGAACTTTCCGATATGTGTCGAGTTAAACAATAAATATTTTATTTGAATATGAGCTACCAGTTTACTTGTTCAGTTGTTTAAGTAACCACCTGTCTGATTAACTACCTTTCTAAGTTGTCCGCTTGTCTACTTTTGCATCTGTCTACATGTCCACCCGTTTACCTATATACCCCTCTGAGTTTCTACACGTATACATGTCTATATGTCAACCAGTTAACTTGTCTACACGTCTATATGTTTAGTTTTGTGTTTCTAGACTTATCTACATGGTTTCTTGTCTATATGTTCACATGTTTACCTGCCAATCTTTCCAATTGTTTACATGTCTACCTGTCAGCCTGATATCAATATTCCTAAATGTATATAAATCAATAATAATTATTTTTAAAGATCATTAGACTATAACATGCCAATTATTGAATTTTTTACCTGAAAAACGCTAGACCTGCATTCGTAAAATTGTGATCAATTCTTCATTCCGTCGATACAAGTAAAATGTTTGAATCATTGGATCGGAAAAATATATAACCTTAGATAAAATGAGCCCAATTGAAACTTTGAATCAATTTTTTTTTAATTACTATTTTTGTTACAACTGCTAAATAATTAACATGTCGTAACAGTAATGAACAATTATATAAATTTAATAAAAAGAGCACAAAATAAAGAATAGAATTTTCAATAAAATGATATCCGTAGTATGTTGATTTAATATAAAATAAAAGCAAATAATAATAATAAAATTAATAAGTAAAATAAATAAAATTTCTGATTAATAAAAAAAATACTAGAAAAACAATAAAACAATAAGTGAAAGATAATACTAAACATAATGAAATAATAATCAAAATGAATGATTTTTCATAATTAGTTAATAATTTTTCCTTAAAAATTTTTACAACCTCTGAGAGGGTTGCAGCTCACTCCCATCCCTCTTGACATGGGATCGTGTGTATACAAATCGTTTGCATCGCCCAGAGACACAAATACAAACCGCTCAGAACAATAAGCACACGCCAATACTCGGCCACGAGGTAGCCACCGACAAATAATACAAACGATGCAAGAATAAAGAATAAAGAATAACCAAATTGCGCGAACGTTACAAAATACCCGTCTATGTCTATGCGAAATGGTCAATTGTTTTGTTTTCACGAGCAAAATATGAAAAAAGTGAAGGATTAGCAAAGTGCGAATCGCAATCGGTGGCTGAAAACTTTTAACAATTTTTTTTCTTATAATTCGTATATAACAGAAGATAACAAAAATCTAATCAGTTCTTCATATTGTCAATACAAGTAAAATGTTTTTTGAATTATTAGAATCGGATGCGCCGTTCTTTTAAAAACTGAGTTACTGTTTTTGGCACTTTTTGCCCTGTATTTGGAACGGCTAGATTTGCCTTCGCCAAAAACTAATCAGCACGTCTCCTTATCAATACGAATCGGATGTTTTGTGAATTATTCCAATCGGTTGATCCATGTTCCCGAAATCGTCGACACATATTTGTATTCACATACACATAAATCCATTTTTTCTAAGGTATGCCAAAATGTTCAGAAACCTTCGAAACGTAAAGATATATGCAATTTTTAATTTTTTGATACAAATATTTGATTTGTATATGATCTACATGTTTAACAGTGTCTAACTATTACTTTTGTACATATCTATCAGGTCAAACGTTTACCTATGTACCTGTTAGCCTGTCTACATTTCCATATGTCTATCTTTTTACATGTCCTCCTTTCTACATGACCACCTTTCTACATTTTTACTTATATACATGTCAACTTGTCTACATATCAACTTGTCTACAAGTCAAATTGTCTACTTGTCAACTTGCCTACAGGTTTACCTGTTCACCTGGTCTACCAGTATACCA